CGCGAGATCATGACCTAAGCGAAAGTCAGACGCTTAACCGACTAAGCCACCCAGGCGCCCCTGATCATTCTTTTTTTAAACAGTATTATTATTGTTGTCATTATTATTATTATTGAGAGAGTCAGAGACAGTGCAAGTGGGAAAGGGACAGAGAGAATGAGAGAGAGAAAAGCCCAAGGAGGCTCCTCCATGCTAGTGTAGAGCCAGACCTGGGCTTGAACCCATGAGGCCATGAGATCATGACCAGAGCCAAAACCAAGAGCTGGGCACTCAACCAACTGAGCCACCCAGGTGCCCTCATTCTTTTTTTTAATGTTTATTTATTTTTGAGAGAGAGGGGGAGGGACAGCATGAGTGGAGGAAGGGCAGAGACAGAGAGAGAGAGAGAGAGAGGATCCAAAGTGGGCCCTACACTGACAGCACAGAGCCCGATGTAGGGCTCGAACTCATGAACTATGAGATCATGACCTGAGCCAAAGTCAGATACTTAACTGACTGAGCCACCAGTGCCCCTTGGACTTTTTATTTTGAAATCATTTTGTTTTTTAAAATTCTTAACATTTTTAAGAATTTTTGAGAGAGAGCGTGAATTGGGGAGAGGGACAAAGAGAGAAAGAGAGAGAGAGAGAGAGAGAGAGAGAGAATCTTAAGGAGGCTCTATGCTCAGCATGGAGCCCAACGTGGGGTGCGATCCCATGACCCTGGGATCGAAATTAAGAGTTGGATGCTCAACCGACTGAGCCACCCAGGCACCCCTATTTTGAAATAATTGTATAGATTCACACAACAGTTGCAAAGACAGTACGTGAAATTCCTTTATACCCTTCATCTCACTTCTCCTAATATTACTATCTTCCATAACCACGGTACATTGATTAAAACCACTGCCATTAGCTAAACTTCAGACTTTACTCAGAGGTTCCCAGGTTTTCCACTGGTGTCCTTTCTCTGGTCCAGAATCCCATGTTACATCTAGTCAACATGTCTCTTTAGTTTCTCCTAATCCGTAACAGTTTCCAGGTCTTTTTTGGTCTTTCTTGACATTGACACCTTTGAATAGTATTGAATATTACTAAATAGGCCGCATTGCGGGCTCTTCTGATCTTTTCTCATGAGGAGCCAACAGGTTATGGGTTTGGGGAGGAGGACCGCCAGGGTCAAGTGTCCTCATCAATCCTATCCGGGTACGTGACATCAACAAGACCCACCGATGCCGTATCTGTGTTTATTGCAGTCTCTCTGTGTGTGCGTACGTGTGTGTGTGCGCGCGCGCGCGTGTGGTTAGGTAAACATAGTCTCCTAGTCATATCTCCTCCTCTAACCCAGCACCACAGGGTTCATTCTAGCACCTCCTATGAATTTAACGGGCATTTTGGTGGCAGTGAGAGATGTCGCACTTGCAGGAAGGCTGCGGTAAGCTACAGTTCTTCCCGGAGACGCCGGCTGCCATCTGCAGGTGCCCTTTACTGGCAGACACTTTGCTACCAGACATTGGACTCATCAAGGTGAGCTGACACGCTGCCGGAATGACACTTCTGAGCCCGGACTCGCGCCTGGATCCACCCTGAGGCTGCGTGGGGTGCCAGGGGACTCTTGCTCTGCCCTAGCTGAGGCCTCAGCCAAAGCCTGGGAAATCCGGGCCGTCAGGCTCAGAAAAGCCGCGGGGGCTCCCCGTCTTGTTACATCCATCCCCTCCCCCCCCCCACCGTTCTGTATAAAGTTCTTAAGTAACAAGGACTTAAGCTAGGACAGTGATCTGTGAGAATCACGAGTGCTGGACCCAGTCACTGCTGGGTAGAATGCACGTTCGGGGCCGAGGTGTGTCCAGTTAGGGGGTGGCGCGGGCAAGCAGGCAAGCCCTACCGCGGCTGTGGACCCCCCCCCCGCGTCATCCTGTGTCACCACTAGGGAAGACATCACTGCCCGCGCACGGCCCCCCTCCATCAGCCACCTCTCCATGCCCACCCTCTGGTCTTCCTCTCTCTTGCTGATCTTGTCCGGGTGGCCCTTGCTTTCCAGTCGTCTTCTGAGTCCCTGCCCTGTCTGCCGTCTGCCCTCCCTGTTGCTCTGTCACAAGTCACCTTCACCCTGCCTCCCGTGGCCTCCTGGCCCATCACTTTCGTTACTGCTTCCCAGCACCCTTCTCTGGTCTGTGCTCTCGGTTGCAACCTCACCAGCTCGGCCAATTCCTGAACCCGGAGCCCTGCCTGGGCTCACTCCTTCCTGGTTCAGGGCAGCAAGCCAGGCCCACCTTCAAGGTGCTTCCGTGGCCGTGCGGCCGGTTCCCGTCCCTCTACCACTGCGCTGTGACTCTTCCAAGCCTTTGCCTTTCTCTGTCGGTACATCCAGAGAAGTTTTTCAAGTAGGATTCAAACTCTGGAGTCATAAAAAGAAAGACTGGCTAATTTGAATAGATAGCAGCGTGGGGCGCCTGGGGGGCTCAGTCGGTGAAGCATCCGACTTCGGCTCAGGTCATGATCACGTAGTTCGCGGCTTTGAGCACCGCGTCAGGCTCTGTGCTGACAGCTTGGAGCCTGGAGCCTGCTTCGGATTCTGTGTCTCCCTCTCTCTCTGCTCCTCCCCTGCTCACATTCTGTCTCTCTCACTCTCTCTCTCTCTGTCGAAAATAAGCATTAAAAAAAAAAGATAGCAAGACCCTGGATGTAAAAACATCTCGGGCCCCGACCAGACAGTCTAGAAAGAATCCTTGTGTCTCTGTTGGTCAGCGATTTCAGGGCAGCAGATGAAAGCCCTCGACAGCCCAGTGGGTCAGAGCAGAGGGCTGTCCATAGGGGACAGCGATTACTGGACAGAGAAAGGAACTAAGTATGTGACACATCATGGCCAGGACCCTTGCTCACACGGTCCAGAGGGACAGCAGACAGCGGAGCAAGACCTATCAGCAGCTACCACAAGCAAGACACATTGCAGCTCGTCCCCTGGGGGGCCAGGGAGGCAGGGCTCCCAGTGCCATCATGGCACCTTGTCTTCTTATGCCCTACAGATGCCACAGTAAGCGATGCCTACAGCCACTTTGGGGCCAAGCTTACCTGCAAACAACAGATTTTCTTGTTGAGAAGATACGACTCATCCTGGACTCTCTTGCCCATCCTCGGCCACCAACAGAGTAGCGGCTTCATCTCATCGCCTCAGGTAAGCTCCCCTGGACTCCTTGCGCGGGTCACGGTCATATCACAAAGGGATGGTCTCCTTAATACATGGAGAACTCCTAGAAGTCAATAAGAAAAAGACGACCGATCAATTCGGTAGAAAAAATGGTCAATATATAATTAGAAAAGCAAAAACAAATTGTCCTTAAATATATGAAGGAAACGCAGTCTTGCTCACAAGAACGACATGGAGCTGTTTTTGGGTTTATCAAAATTAGCATAAATCAAAAAGTTTTATAAGCTACACGTTTGGTAGGTATTTGTGTTTCCTAATTCCTGTGTGTGTGTGTGTGTGTGTGTGTGTGCACGCACGTGTGGCGCCAGGGAGCTCCCTGTACCAGCAAGCAATGCTCAGACACCAGCTGGGTGTCCTACACTTCCACTCAGTTCTGACACTATGTACTTGGGGACAGCGTCAGATCCCGCAGGTGCGGGGTTCAGTCCAAGAAGACCTCCTCTTCAGACACCAATCACAAGCCCAGGTTGCTACGTGCGCTTCTGACTGACTGGCTTTTAATCAGGGGTCCCTGCTAACCCTTCCTTGAGTTTGACTGATTTGCTAGAATGGCTCACAGAACTCTGAAAACCTGTTAACTCACCAGATGGTCAAGGAATTGAAGGATATGAATCAACAGCCAGATGAAGAGATGCACAGGGCAAATCCGTGCCAAAGGCACCTTTGTCCATGTGGAGTTTGGGGCCCGACATACTGGCACTTGGAAGCCTGCCCCCCACCCCCACCTCCCAGGCATCCCCAGCTTGCAAGCTTTCCACATCCCCTCCGTTTTTTGGGTTTTTATGGAGGCCTCCTGCGGAGGTGCGATTGGTCCAATCCCTGGCCTTTGGTGATCAGCATCCCCTCTCCTTCCCTCCCTGGAAGTCACCTATTCCCATTGGTTTCCCAGGCAACCAGCCCTCAGATTTAGGTGCTTTCCTAAAGCCACTCATTAACATACCCCAGAAAAGGGCCTGCGAATAACAGGCCACACTCATTCGCCTTTGTGGCTCTGAATAGATTTCAGGAACTGAGGACCGAGATCAAAGCTTGTAACAAAAGATGCTCATTCCTCTGTTGCTTAGCAAATGCCAAGGATTGAGCTGGGAGTCAAGAACAAAAACCAAATATATATGCAAAATATGTTTTGGTGGTCTGAATGGCCATATATATGTTTATATATATATAAATCACAATATCATGTGAGGAAACAGGCACATCGCTGGTGAGCGTGTAAGCTGGTGAGAAATTTGGCCTTAATTATCGAGTCCATCTACTCTTTGACCTAGTCTAGCAATTCCACTCCCAGGAATTTATCCTGCAGACATTGTACGTGTGCAGAACGATGGAGATGCATACAAGTTAGTTTTAGTAGGTTTCTTCCGATGAGCAAAAGATGGGAAATAAACCAAACGTGCATTATATTAAGAAAATTAGCTAAAAAAAATCGCACATCCATGTGAGAAGTAAGTGAGATGATTCATTTTCAAAAATACCAAATGAAAACTGTGCTGTCTAGTTAACAGTAATTTACAACCTACTGGAAATATGTACGAACCTCCCACCCCCACCACAATGGAGTCCCAAACCCTTAGACACTTCACTTCATGGCTCTTCTTTCCCTCTCCATTTAGTGGGCTTATTTTTCATGGGCTTTGCCTGAGTATGTGCCAAAGAACTGAAGTCTCTGCGTCACCTCAAGGAATGTATTTTAAAAAAATTTTTTTTAATGTTTTATTTATTTTTGAGAGAGACAGTGTGAGCAGGGGAGGGTCAGAGAGAAAGGGAAATACAGAATCTGAAGCAGGCTCCAGGCTCTGAGGTAGCTGTCAGCACAGAGCCCGACGCAGGGCTTGAACCCACAAACCGTGAGATCATGACCTGAGCTGAAGTCTGACGCTTAATTGACTGAGCCACCCAGGCACCCCTCAAGGAATGTATTTTTGACCTTCCGTGGGCATAGGTGACTTCCGGGTAAGGCTATAAGCTCTGTAGTGCTCAGCCAATGAGGAACCAGGGGAGGGACTTGCGTGCTAGGAGATAAATTTCCTGCTGTAAGTGCCCTGAGTGTGCCTGTCCATCAGACACTTGCTTTTGCAGGAATGTGGATTAAAGCCTGGCTTCACTGTGCTCGAGTCTCCACATCCCCCTTTGATTGGGTCAGTGCACTTATTTCTCACAATCCGTATTCTGTGCCCGACAACGTTAGCACTTTTTCTTCTCTGCTTCAACAGGATTAAATATATTTTAGCTCCAAACTCAGCATGGTATTTAATGGAGACTATGAGATGCATTCCCACTAAGTCAGAAGCAAGAGTGAAGGCCCACTGGCAGCAACATGATTTAAGAATGTACTAGAGGGGCGGCTGAGTGGCTCAGTCGGTTAAGCGTCCAACTTTGGCTCAAGTCATGATCTCATGGTTGGTGGGTTTGGGTCCCGCGTTGGGTTCTGTGCTGACAGCTCAGCTCAGAGCCTGGAGCCTGCTTCAGATTCTGTGTCTCTCTCTCTCTCTGACCCTCCCCTGCTCACTCTCTCTCTCTCTCTCTCTCTCTCTCTCAGAAATAAATAAAACATAAAAAGAATTTTTTTAAATAAAAAAATAGTTGAAAAATAAACAAAATAAAAAATAAAAATAAATAAAATTCTTTAAAAAAGAAAAGAACGTACTGGAAGTGCTAACCAATGCAATCGGGGAAGAAAAGAGAGAGATATACACATTTGAAAGGAGAAAGTAACACTTCCGCTCTAAGGAGAGAAGATTAGCCACATACCTGGAAAATCCAAGTGAATCACCGGATCAACTACTACAAACAGCAAGAATTGATGAATCCCACTGAACAAAACTCAAGCACAGAAATCAAGCCTCACCCCACCGCTTCAGGGCGACAGCCCACCCCTGAGACCAGGGAACCCGGCCCGCACAGTCCGGCAGCGGCCCTTCCTTTGCTGTGGAGCGAGTTCTTGGGGCAGGGGCGGTGCTGTGCAGGACAGCGCCACGACGATGGCATTTTGTTGATCTACTTTTGGCAAAGGTTCTTTGGGTGTCACAGCCGGTGTCTGTGAGGGCCTGCTGTCCCTCAGCCCTGTCCAGAGACCAGGGAGTGGCCCTGCCATCACAGAACCCACCCCCAGCAGGAGGAGGACACATGGGCCCTGGCATGTGCCCAGCGCTAGGAATGCAGGGAGTCTCGTAATTCAGGCAGGAGGGGACCTGGAGGGCTCCCTGGAGGAAGCAATATCTGAAGGGTGATAGAGGTGGGCAAAGTGGGGAGGAGGGTTTTCCAACAGCAGGCAGGAAGAACCAAGGTGTATCTGGGGGCCCCTAGGAACTCAGTCTGGCCAAAATATGAGCTGGGAGGGCATTAACTGAAGAAATACGGGCAGCAGTGTTGGGCTCAGTCGAGTTGACGTGAAATGTTGGGGTTCGGGAGTGAATGGCCACGAAAGAATTCTTGAGACATCTTTGGGGCAAAAAAGGTGGTTTAATGAAAGCACGGGGACAGGGCCTGTGAGCAGATACAGCTGCGCTGGGGGTGTAAGGGGGACTCTACCTTCCATTGAGGAGGGCTGTAGGGAGAGCGTGAAGTCTCTAAGGAATTTGGAAGCAAGGTGGCCAGGACCTTGGGGGGCTGGCTGCTGTTAGCATGCGGTCATTTACTGGTGTCTAGTGAAACCCCAGTCATGGGACCCTTCAGGTGTCTTATCAGTGGGCTGTGTTGGGAGGGCTAGCTTGTATCTTGGGGCGGGGGTAGAGATAAAGGAAGTTTTGATATATTATATGAAGTTCTTATATAAAAGCTTTTATTATACATGTGTATATATTAAAGAAGACTTGGAGGGTCCCGGAGTCTGGACCAATGTCCCACGGAAGTTGCCTTTGCCTCCAGCAAAGTATTAACATCCAGCCGCTGAGTTCCCGGAGGAAGGTCACTGCCTGTCTCAAGTACCCGTCAATGGGCTGCAAAAGGTATTTCATTTTTTTTTCTTCTACATTTCTTTTACCTTTGTCCCTCACATCAGAGTGAGCTACTATCTGGGGAGGGGCTGTGGAGGCTGTGGTGGGGGCGGGGGTGGGAGCACATGGTTACTTGAGGGGAAGATGCAGGGGGGCCAGGGAGACGTCAGCAGGCGGAAAGGAGGGAGGGCAGGAGGGCCCTTCAACCTTGGCTGCCTGTTAAAATCTCCCAAGAAGATGTGCCTGGGAAGTGGCTCAGTCAGTTGAGCCTCCGACTTCAGCTCAGGTCTTGATCTCATCATTGGCGAGTTCAAGCCCCGTGTTGGGTTCTGTGCCGATGGCTCAGAGCCTGGTGCCTGCTTCAGATTGTGTGTCTCCCTCTTCTCCCCTGCTTGCGCTGTCTTGTTGCAGAAATCTGGTCTGGATCACTGGCGGAAGAACAAAGAGGCACTCGGCGATCTTGGAAGGGAGGAGGTTTATTTTACACCAGTGGGCTCAGAGGAGATCATTCTCCAGAGGTCTGAGCCCAGAGCATCAGAAGAGGGACTAATTTGTAGCCTGTTACTTCCGCATTCCTCATTAATGCATGCACCAGCAGGGTGGGAAGAAGAACCTGGAAGAGGGAGCCTTTGATCAGGGACAGGTATTTCCTTATCAGTCCTGCTGGCCACCTGATAACAGATTTTTCCCTATCACTCTCTCTCAAAAATAAATAAACATTAAAAAAAAATCTCCCAAGAAGCACCATGCTACGGGGAGGGCAGAGATAGGGGCCTCTGGCCATCCCATTGCGCAGGAGGGGCCAGCCCCTTACCTTTTGAAATGAAGGGCCTTGGAGGTCAAAGGGGCCAAGTGGGAACAGTCCAGTGACAGAAGGTGTGCATGGGGCCGGGTTGGGGACGAGTGAGGCATACGTGCAGCTGAATTAGCGACAGCAGTGAGGGGCCAGGGCCACGGCCGGAGGGGGCCGGAGCTGGGCATGGTGGATGCTTCAAGGAGGGAGAACTGAGAAAACAGCATGGGGGTGGGGGACCAGCGTGAGCTCAGCCTCTACAGGACTCCCACCACCTCCCATGAGCCTTCCTGAGTGGGGGGCAAGAACAGTCTGGGGAGGGCAGAATGAGGCCAAGGCTGAGGCGGGGCATCGGCGTTACCCATCCTCCAACCAGGGACAGGAGGGGCGTCTACTGGCTGCGAACATCTGATTGATTCGCCTGCCTTTTTGGGCTCATGGACCGGACCTCCTTGATTCACGTTTCTCTATCCATTCAGGTTGTTGATTGAGAGAGTAGTAGGTGGAGGGGTGCTCTGAGCCCCGGCCTACACACATGGAGGTCAAGGTGGAGATCAAGTCAGTCCCTGGGTACAGACCTCATTGTCTGGGTTTGCTGTCTGGGGGGGGGAGGGGGATGTGTAAAAAGTTGGACATTTTGTTCTCGGTGGGAGTTTGCTTCCCTCAGAGCCAATGCAGAGGGTCCAATGAAGTGATGGGCTGATGTGGAGGGAATGATCTGGAGGATCTTACGCAGAGGAACTTACACAGAAATATTCGTGGTTGTGGAGCCTGCATGGTGTGGTCTGGAGCCTTCTAGCGTTGGAAGGATGCTGTGGGACTCGGGAAAGGGTATAAACGTCACCCCATCAGCACACGACTGTGCCCTCTTGCGCCTTGCCTGGCCCTAAGGGGAAGCTACCCTCCTTGCTCGCTCTTGACTCTCTGCGGCCAGCTGGGCAGGCCTCTCACCCACAGGGACCCCTGCAGCAGCAGAGGTCACTATGTAGCTGGAGGGCCTGGGTCCACTCTGGACACAACCATTTGCCACCAACCCAAGGAAGGCCTGAACACTAGGTGAGCTGTAGCCTCCCTGCATTAAGATGTTTGGAACTCGGGGCTCAACTGCCCCAAAGTCAACTCCCATCTCTGTCCTTACAAGACAGACGACTTTCTGCAAGCTGCTGTTTCATCTGTTAACAGGGGACCATAATAATCTCTCCACAGGACCGCTGTGACACTAAGCGAAGCACGCATGCAAAGGGATCGCAGCGCCTTGTGCGACAGACTGTTCATCAGCTGGGCCCATTTACTGCACACGGTGCCAGCCTCACCCGCAGGGGCACGGAGCCCGCTGCTCCCGCGTCCGCGCTTGCACAGCCCAGGTGAGGGAAGATTACCTGCCTGCCGGCCCGGGCATCCACTCGCTACATTCGACCCCCAAATCCTCCAGGAGGTCTTGCTTTGCTTCTTCCCTGGCCTTCCTGGGATGCTATGCACCCCGCCCCCCCCCCCCCCCCCCCCCCCCCGAGATGCCCCCACGGCGCTCTGCACACCTCCCTTTGCAACTCACTTGCAGTTCCTGGGGCTCCTCCCCTTCGGACTGTGGGCTCTGGGAGGGAACTGCCTCAGGCTTGCTGGTCATCTCTACCGCGCGCACCACACTGCTGGGCCCCCAGGCAGGGGGCCAGTGTTGGAGGAACATTCTGAGGTCTACCGAAGCCGACTGCGGACTCTGTTCTTTTGCAGCGGACACGTCAGAGAGCTGAACTTTTATGAGTTGCTGGGATGGAGATGGATTATTTGTCCAGGACATTTGAACTTGAGTCAGAATGGTCTTAGAGGGCAATTTGGCATCAGGGTCATGTGGAACTCAGCCTGGGAGTGTCAGGGCTGACAGGCACCACACAGGACTGTGGCTCAGGGAAAGTGGACCCAAGGCCCAGAGGCAGAGACAGGGGAGATGAGAAATACGGAGATCATCCAGGGGGCCAGGGGACAGAGCTCGAAGAAAAGAAAAAGGGCTGGATTTAATTTCACTGGCCTTGGGCCAACCGTGTGAGTAGATGCGGCTCTTGGATGTGGATTTGCACTCCCTGCCCTTAATGCTTTTCCCAGCACGGCGGTCCGTGGACTGATGGAAAGCCTTATTTACCAGCATGGTATTCTGCATAGTACTTTTAATTAAAAAAACTCATTTCACAGCAGTTGAAGTCAGGCATTGGACTTGTGGTCACGTAACTCACAGGTCCATCCCTCACCACGTAGAAACAGCTGGGTAAATAGAAGAGTGAAATGGCCCATGGAAGACTCAGCTACAATGCCACAGGGAGACAATATCCTGAAAGGGCAGAGTTCTACCTTTTTTTTTTCCCCCCAAAGGTTTATTTTTGAGAGAGAAAAAGATCTGGGACGCTTCACGAATTTGCGTGTCATCGTGTCGTCCTTGCGCAGGGCCCACGCTAATCTCTGTATCCTTCCAGTGCCTAAGCCAGCACAGGGCAGAGTTCTGCCTTACAGGCTGCAGAATATGCTTTGCATGAATCTGCTCTCCCAGAACCAGAATTCATGGGTCTGGGAATCAAGGGACAGAAGTGAGAGGTTCCTCTTGCCAGTCCACTCAGTGTGGCTCTGCTGACCTGGAGATTTTGGTTTTCAGAGGAGGAATGTTTCCACCAGGAACACAGCAATGGCTCCATTTTTTTTTTTTTTCTAAGTTTAGTTATTTTGAGAGAGAGAGAGCGTGCGCATAAGCTGGGGAGGGGCAGAGAGAAGGAGAGACAGAATCCCAAGCAGGTTCTGTGCCATCAGTGCAGCGTCTGATGCAGGGCTCGAACTCCCGAACTCTGAGATCATGACCTGAGCCAATTCAAGAGTCGGATACTTCACTGGCTGAGCCACCCAGGTGCCCAGCAATGGCTCCATTGGGTGCATATTGGGGCTCATCAGGACAGTGAACAGACAAGCTAGCGTGGGAACGATCCTACTGGCCAGACACCATTACCGAGGGGAAGCCTGGCTGCCGCTCTGCAACAGGAGCAGGGAAGACTGTGGCTGGAACCCAGAAACTCCTCTAGGTCCCTCTTAGAAATAGCAACGATGAATGGAAAACTAAAAAATAAAGGCAGGACAATGAATTCAGACCCTTTAGGAATGAAGGTTTTGATCAACCATGCCAAAAGAGAGTCCCGACCAGCCGAGATCCCGGCTGAGGGCAAAGGAAATAGAGACCAGGTAGTGGAAACGGCGGCTCTAAATATCAACTCCAGCTTCACAACAGACTCTATGTACTCTTTCTAGATTGTTGTGTGTGTACACACACACCCCTTCCTTTCTGCTCTTCCTCACTATCTCAAGCTGTTTCTGTTGGAAGTTAACTTTACCGTGTAGTCTTCATTTCCCCATTTTTATTTTTAGGGCAAGAGAGCAGGGGAGAGGGTCAGAGGAAGAGTGAGAGGGAGAGAGGGAGGGGAATCCTAAGCAGGCTCCACATTCAGCATGGAGCCTGACACGGGGCTCGATTCCACGACCCTGCGATCATGACCTGAGCCGAAATCAAGAGATGGATGCCCACTGACTAAGCCCCCCAGGCAGTCCCACCGTGTAGTGTTTAGGTATCATTCTGTTATCCTATATTTTCCTCAGACGAGACTGTGCCTGGATGGGAGGAATCAACATGGCACAGATCCCTACACTGATTGTTGGGCTTTACATTCCCTCAGTTTGGGAGAGAGTACGTCCATCTTCTTAAAATTAGTTGCATCTTGGGCAGAAACGGAGTAGCTTCTGTGATCATGTTAAAGCTCATATAGACGTAAAGGGGTGTGTACAGATGCCGTGGGGCTAAAGGGGGAGGCTGTCCCAATCACTAAGCTCTTTCGCAGCTTCACACCCAGCGGTTTTTAAAAAAAAATTTTTTTAAATGTTTTTATTTCTGAGAGAGAGAGAGAGAGAGAGAGAGAGACAGCATGAGCAGGGGAGGGGCAGAGAGAGGAGACACAGAATCTGAAGGAGGCTCCAGGCCCTGAGCTGGCTGTCAGCACAGAGCCCGATGCAGGGCTCGAACCCACAAACTGTGAGATGATGACCTGAGCTGAAGTCAGACGCTCAACCAACTGAGCCACCCAGGTGCCCCTCACCCAGCGTTTTTAACAGTTTCTGTAATGTGGGGCACGGAGCTCGGCAGCCCTTCCTGCCCACTGGAACTGCCCAGCCGTGGGAGGCCTCAGTGCCGGAGGGAGGAAGGGAAGAGACGTGCTGCCTCCAGGCCCATCAGCCTCACCCCTCTGTGGTGGTGATGGCGGCGGCAGCGGCATGGTTCTGGGGTCACCACCTCCGGCCCGCTCGGGAGCAGCTGTTGTGCCCCAGCGACACCAGCACCAGGCAAGCAACCTTCCGGAGGCAGCTCTTCCCGGGGTTGCTACTTCCTGATTCTTTCTTGTTACCTTTTTACTCAGCGTCAAAAATTCTGCCCTCTGGTTAACGTGACTTACGTGGGTTCTGTCTTCTATTTGGACCATGACTGACAGACACACGAAGTTTCTATCTATTGAAATGGAGTCCCAAGACTGGATTGTTTTAAATCCTCACCAACAATGACCGAGGCTCTGCAGCATCTCTTTCTCTCTCGGTTTTTCACACGGACACTTGGGGAGGTCTTCAAATTCTAATCCTTCGAATTTCCTTGTTCCAGTATTCCTCACCCAAGTTGAGAATTAAAGTAAACCGTATTTGGATATTAAAATTTTACATTAAGAATATTTTTAGAACACGTGTCAGGGATACTGCACTGTCCGAACTGCCCCACACATTTTGTTCTGGAATGGACTTAAAAGACCCGCGCCCAAAGAGCAGACTCAGCAGCAACAACCACCAGTGCCCCCGTTTCCCTGCATGAAAGAGTCCACGACTTGGTTCTTGCGGATATTTTCCATTTATTACTGCAGTAGACAATCGCTCTGAAAGTGCAACACTAGATCACTTTGTCACAGCCTCTGCTCCGCCACTGGCAAATTCCTGGAAGTTCATTCTTGGAGCATCGTGGACCACAAGCTTCTCTCTGGGTGGAAAGTTACTGCCACTGCCAAGGTCACAGGGAAAAAACCCAGACACGTGAATAGAGAAGGGTAAAATGAGAAGAGCCCTCGAGAGAAGTAGGGGCCAATTTCAAAGGGAAAACCCATCAGGGGGGCCGTGGGACAACAGCCCACCTGCGTGAAGTGGAAGGTGACTCCCCATCTCCGGGCGGGGCAACCTACCATGTTTGTGAGGCTGGCCAGGGTGCACCTTTCCCCCACTTTGTCCCCATAGTAGGTGATGCCATAACCACTGCCGTTGTCGCCGAGGCCCGGGGAGTCAAAAGGAAGTAAAGGACCTCAAGCTACTCTGGAATATAGGTGTTTCGGCTAAACTGACTCTTCAACCTCCCACTAAAAGAAAGCGCTGGGCAGAATATCCGGGAAAGGCCTGGGGCCAAGACACTGCCTAAGAGAAATAACTCTTGTTCTGACCAGCACAGGGCCAGCATCTTTTGATGGATAAAGATAACTTTCAAATACTGCAATGCCAAGGAGGAAGGGAAATATGAGCAGCTCTAGAAAACACAAGAGATCAAAGAATCTGAATGAGACCAAAACAAAAACAAAAACAAAACGCAAAAATATGGACAGGACACCCAAGCACTCAGCCTGACAGACCCCTCCCTCATGAACATATCTCACACACACACACACGCGCGCGCGCGCACACTTGCTCGCACACATGTAACAGGTAGATGCCCAAAAGAAGGCAAATCCAAAGGTCTGTTCTCTTTGGAATTCTCATGGCAAATCTGAGTGTGGGCAAAAGTGAAGCCCTTCCTGGGGTCTAGACAAATACTCAGGTGGCAGCCTTTGCTCCCCATTTAGCCAGTGTTGCTCTTCTATTTGCCTGAGCCCTTCACAATGATCTGGGCGCTACAATTCATTCTTCGTACTCCTGGAGTTTAAATCACTGCTAGATCTTCTTATCCGATCTAACTTCACCTGTAACAGAAGCACTGCCCTTTTGGCTCCTGCACTCCCTTCCTTCGGGAACAAGCATCTCGACACAGTGGTAATGAGAGGGTGTTCAGGAGTTGGAAAGTAGAAGAGAATAATATAAATACAATAAGGAAATGCCTGTAACTCTCATAGGACTCCTCTGAGACCAGGTGGCGAAGGCCCTGGCCTTCAAGGACAGGCTTTAGGAGAGACCTTAATTTAAGGTACTGCAGATCTCTGCTCACAAGAGCCAAGTAAGACAGCGCTCCCTGCAGGCTGCTGGAGGACTCGTACTCAGTACGGATTTCCATCCGAGGTGCTCTTTTCACCTCTCTGACTTCAATCCTTCTGGAGTCAGATGGCCAGGCTTCTCTGATGCCTGACTGGCCGTTTTTAAAGCGTGCTTGCGGCGGCCTACCAGAGGTTTCTGTGTGGGCGTCACGGGCCAGCACGCATTACTAGCACATCTACCAGGTGACAAGGACCGAAAGCAGGCTTCCTCAACCACTGCAGACAGGCAAGGCCATGCAAAGAAAGCCACCCATCACGGCCACCTTTCCTTGAGATGCCCCAGTTTCGGGAATCCTAGAATTTACCATATTAAGTGTTCATACTGGGCAACAGCCAAGCTTTTGCCTCCCTTCCTCAGCGAGGGTCATGCAACAGGCTGGACACGCAGGCCCAGCCCGTCTGGGTTGGGACACTGCCCTCGGCTCCGAACTCCGCGCCCGGAACCGCTACTGCAGGCCGGCTCCTGATCCAGCTGGACTCTGCGCCGGCCTCATTCACCAAGGCGCGCCTTCCAGCTGCCTCGGAGCCAGTGTGGCCCACTGGATTCACGTTCTAAGTGCGGCAGTGCCTAAGAAGAAAGGGTCCCACAGGAGGGAAGAACCGAGGGCATAAGGCAGGAGACTATACAAAATCAGTTAACACATTTTCTGAAAATGGTGGGCTTGGGGGAAGAGGGGAGAGAAATAAACAAAATGTCCCAATAATTTAATGGCAGAGCTAGAAGAGAGCATTTATAGCTATTCCGGGACTCTCCAACAGAAAGCTTTTCCTGGATGCACAGACATTCATAATACTGCTACCTCTCAGTCCACAGCTCTGGCTCGCACACGTGGTCACGAGGCCCTTCGTACAGCAGAGGAGAGCACACAGCAAAACCAAAGGCTGAACTCCCTCCCCCCACAGAACCCCATTAAAAAAAAAAGTTTGTCTATTACAAAGTCACGTTTTCTGTTTTTCCGCTTTATAAAGTCAGCGACGCTGGAGGGTGTCTAGCGGAATCCGTCCTCCAGGAATGAGTGCAAAAGGGAGCACACGGCTCAGGGCGTCCCTTCAGTGAGCAGATGGAAGGACCGGCTGGAGACCTCCCATCCATTTCGGACAAACACACACATACAGAAAAGGATTATTGCCAGCTTGTGTACTTTCACAATGTGATTTTTGTATTTCGAAAGCTTGAATTGTCCCTGAAAGAAAAAAATGGGAGAAAACAGAGCATTCAATACACATCTTCTATAGGCAGCAGCACACCTACGGGGCGGGGCTGGGGCTGGGGCTGGGGCTGGGGCCTGAACTCAGCTGCTCCAGGGCCCTCATGATACACCCACCCCAGAACTTTCCTTCCTTGCTAATCTAAGGCCAACATGGCAAACCACCTCCCAAGTCCCTCTGAACACTTCAACTCAACTGTTTTCAAGAGCCAAAGATTAGAAACAACTCAGATACCTGTCAAAAGGGCACTGGCTAAATATGAGTATTACGGCACACTCATCCAAGGGGACACTTGTGCAGCTTAAGAAACAACGAGCCAAGGACGCTCACACTGATACGGAAAGCTCTCCGGGAGTAACTGCGCAGGCGCAGAGCAGTGACTGCGCGTAGTTCGCCACCTTGTGTGTGAGTGGGGGTGGCGGAAATCAGGTCAGCGTTCACGCCGCTTGTACGGACATGGAGTCTGTCCGGCGGACATGGAGTCTGTCCGGCGGACATGGAGTCTGTCCGGCGGACATGGAGTCTGTCCGGCGGACATGGAGTCTGACTGGTTACATGAGACCCCACCACCAACGGGTCACGTGGGGCAGCGGAGTGGGGGAGGGGCACAGCAGAGCCCGAGCGCAGAGTGTGGGAGCGCGAGGGAGGCCCCTTTCTCTCTCTCACACACGCACACACATACATTAAAAAAAAAAAAATCAAGCAATGTGATTGTATCATGTATTTAAAAAAATCAACCAACCAACCAACAAAACCTTTAGTTCAAAACATATAGCTCCTTATAAAGGCTATGCCACGAGGTGAAATCTGAGCGCCCTTTAAACACGGAGCTAGAATTCCTTAAGAGAAGCACGTGGGTACGTGACATGTCACACGAGGCGACCTCTCAGCTGCTTCCACCGGATGCGGGCAGCCTGGGCCGCGCACCAGAACCCTTCCTGCCCCACACTAGAAACCTGGTGTCTCAGCAGCTCGCACTGCCATTTGCATCCCAGTGTTTCAGGGCTGCAAAGGGCCTTAAAGAGAACCTCATCTGCTGCTCTCGCCCCCGGCTTCAGACTTTAAAGTACCTGAAATTCCGAAACAGGAATTCTCATTAACCTGATTTTGAAAGCATTATTTCCCTTTAGTTTTAATGGGACATTCTAGAAGCTTTAGCTTTAACTGACCATCTTAATATTGCTACAATTTACTGGGCATACGGCTTTCGGTCTGGAGTAAATCTGAAAGAATACGCTCGGCCCAGACAAACGGCAGCTTCCAGTCAGCGACTGGCCACCGGACTGTCCCCTGTGATGGCGGTCGGCTGCCTTCCCCACACAAGAATGACCGCAGACAAGTGCACTGAGAGGGGAAACTGGAGCTGGTGTAATTGACACGCATGACCCCATAGCTCATTATCAATGGCTCTTCAGTATTTTGAGGCTTTCCATCTAAGGAGGTGAAGACTGAACATGAATAAAACTTACGGGGGTGATCATCTTTTTAAGAGGCCTTTCACAAGGACAGATCCCCCCAAGGTGCCACCAGTAGCCAGCAAAGGATAAGGAGCGTATCTATGTAACAGGAAGGGAAGCAGAACTGATGTGTGTGTGACTTCCCTGTCCCCTTGGGGATGGTGCACTGTACTACTGAGACTGCGTGTCCGAGAACCCCTCTAATAACAAAGGAGTGATTAGGAAGGAACAGCCTGCTCTGTGCCATTTCTTCCCTTTATCCTTCCTCTGTCCCCTCCCCCCTTCCCTCTATCCCCTAGAGCAAAAGTCAACCAGCAGGGGAAAGTGAAGAGCAGGCTGTGGGAAGGTAGAATCACAGAACTTCCTAACAGTGGGAGAATGATCTGTCTTTGGAATAAGAGAGATGGCAGGCAAGTGTCTGGACCCAGCCTTTTCATCTGTTAATGATACAGAAGAGAGAGCTTTCTGGACAACTCATTACTATAAGCAGGTCACCTCTATCTTTTGGAAGAGTCCCTGTACTCTGGGGTTGGGCCACAAACAAATTCTCTCTGTGGCAGGTAAACTGAAGAGTCTAGAACACTTCCCATCTAGGTGTTTACTACTTATTCTAATTACTGCTCCTGTCCTAGATCTCTTCACGGTCAGAAAATCTAAGAAATCACAACTATTCTAAGGTTTATTTGTAATGTGGAAAAGGGGAGAAGAATAAGGAGCCAGGAGAATCTAGCTGGGCTCCCCCAGTTTGATATAAAGAGCAAAGAGAATGGGTGACAGGCTGCTGACAAGGACAGGCTGGTGGCAGCTGGTGGCTCTGGTCCAGCTTCTCTAAAAAAAAAAAAAGTGGGCTGAGGACAGCTCGGTGTCAAATGTAGTGTGAGGAATGTGTTCACCTCAGGCCAGCTGAGAACTAATCCCTGGTCATATCCATCACCCCAGGCTGCAGTGCCAGAGAGATTAAGAGACAGAAAAAGAAAGAAGAAAGGAAGTGACAGAGGTCACAGGCAACTTTTCATTTTTAAAAAAAAAGACGGGCTTCTGTTATTTTAAAAGCAAACTTGAATTTAGAAAATCCAGAGTGAGCGCCTCAAAGCCAGCCCCTCTAGCCACCTGGCAATGTTGTGATGGAGCACGGGCGACCACAAAGCCTTTTCTGCTGTTTTTGTTTTTTCAATAGATCTTTTAGAAGGAAATAAGAAAAATTTTACATCCTCATCTATGAATTTATATAATAGAAGCAACTGGGACTGAACCCAGTATACTGATTTATCTTTTTTATTTTTAATTTATTTTTAATGTTTTATTTATTTCTGAGAGAGAGAGAGAGAGAGAGAGACAGCGTGAGCAGGGAAGAGTCAGAGAGAGAGGGAGACACAGAATCCGAAGCAGGCTCCAGGCTCTGAGCTGTCAGCACAGAGGCCAATGCGGGGCTCGAACCCACGAACCGTGAGATCATGACCTGAGCCGAAGTCAAATGCTTAACCCACTGAGCCACCCAGGCACCCCACCAGTATATTGATTTAAAGGGGCTCTTCAGATATCAGCATTTCCACTGTATCTGAATTTATCCCAGAGGGTTTTTACAATCCAGGACACAGGGCACAGGAGCTAAAAGACCCACAATGCTAGAGAAGGTCAAAAAGACCAGATGGCTCAGTTGGTTAAGCGTCCAACTTGAGCTCAGGTCATTATCTCACGGTTCATGGGTTCGAGTCCTGCCCTGTGATGACAGATCAGAGCCTGGAGCCTGCTTTGGATTCTGTGTCTCCCTCTCTCTGACCCTCCCCTGCTTGTACCATCTCTCTCTCTCAAAAATAAAATTAAAACATTAAAAAGACCGTTCTCTACGGAATGACCCTTTGGCTTGATAGCAGGGCCTCAGAAATACCACGTTCCCAGGCATTTGGGGGTAAACTGTTGCCCAAATACTCTGTAACAGTTTCTAATCTGCTCTGCCGTTTTGTACTTCGCTAGAAAGGACAAATTCCCACTCTGGGAAGAATAAGCTGAGACAGAGGCAAGCTCCTGAGGGTGGACAACACAGGAGCAAGGTGGCTGGTTCCTCAAAGGAGTGCCTCTCCGTTCTTGCAGGAAGTGGTCACAGTGCTTCCAGGTCCTCAAGGGAAAACTGGGAGCTGAGCCACCGAGGAGGGGCCCTACCTGTGTCTCGGCTCTGGAGGGGATCTGAGGGTGTACTCACAAATCAGCCTACAGGCTTAAGTACAGACCGTCTTCAGAGGAACATTCTCTGGCTATCAGCAGTCCATCACAGGCCAGCTCTGGCTTCTTCCCCTCTCCCTCCCTGTGTGTTAAATAAAACTGCAAACCCTTCCTAGGTTCAGTGGGACAAGTTTCCATCTCTAACCTCCCACCGAGTGCCAACTTCATTCCCCAACAACACAGATCATTGTTCTGTGCGTGCCAGCCCAGACACCTAAGTAACGTAAGTCCTGCCCCAGCAGCTAACTGGGACTTGTACTGAAGCCATGGTTAGAAGGGCAATACAGGTTTGTAATGCAGAGTACATGAAATGGTTCTAGAATATTAGCAGCTATATGTCATAGGTAAAATATCAGATCAACTGCAAAGTATCTGTGGTTCACAAAGAATTACTTAAGTAGCAGTTTTTGGTTCTTCCTAGATCATGGTCTACTTGGAGGGGGAGACAAGGTGGAGACGATGAGGAGCCCAAGCGTTAGGAGCTTCTAAAAGAGCGGTTCACCCAAACATGAGCTGGTGTACCAGCTCAGAGCACCTCTTCTGGGGGTAAGGCCTTAGGGATGAAATATAGAGTCTTTTCCAAGTCTTTAACACAATGACGTGAGTTGATTTTGTTTGTTTGTTTGTTTGTTTGTTTAGACTCTAATACTCCAATCCATTAGACTTCCAAGGCTGCACTTTTAAGAAGGAGAACACCTAACCCACAGAGTGCTTCCTTCATCTGCCAGATAAAGAAGATACAGGGGCAATAAGAAGAGACTGCAAAATGGCGATGAGGCGAACACAGGATTTCAAGGCAGTCCACAGACCTCTTTCCTGAGGGAGTCAGTGTTAGTGACTGATTATCCCAATTTCATTTTAAAGACCTCCCTCCTCTCCCCCCATCCCCCGCAATGGAACATAACATACTATTGATTTTTAAAGATACCATCGTTTTCTGTACTCTAAGAAGTAAACATTGGTAATTAAACTATATCCAAAATCTTATCACATTCACTGTAAGCACACTGATTTTAGGGATATTAAAAATAAAACCAAAAATATCCTAGAAATAATTAAATATGGTAATGTTACTAAAACAATTTAAAAAATTGCATTATAGTGCCAGGCCTCTGGAAATCTGACTTATTTATTCTAAGTATCTGCTATTTTCAGCCTGCATTTCAGTGTACCCAACATTATAGCCGATGCTTCTCATCCCTCCTTGTATATACTAGCAGCCACCTCAGAATTGCTGACTATATTTTACAGAAAAAAAACTTTTAAATTGCAATTTAAAATATCTAGTGTTATAACCTAACAATTGAATTTATAATAAAGGAATTAAGCTTTACAAGCTGGTATCACCCGTGCGTGCAGGACCTCCAAGACCATTTATATCTAAAGACCGCCCAGCTCTGCAGAGTACTCAGACCCCAGGTCACCTGCTCTGTCCCTCTGTGTTATCCTCCCTTGCTGTTGGAGGGATGCAGATCTCCTTTTCTTGAAAAAGCCTCATTTCCTTCCGGGGAAGGGGGAGTTCTGAAGCGGCTACTACAGCTGACATGTTCGGTTCCAATTTTAGCAATTCTCTATTTCACAGGGAGGGGGTGGTGGGGCGGGAATATGCCCTCAGGGCAGGCACATACAGTTACAGTCTTCTCATCCAGACTAAATGGACCCAATTCCCTCTGCTAGAGAGACAGACAGGGACTCGGCACTCTCTTAATTGAAATACAAATGTTCTTAAAGCGAATGTGTCAGCTGACCCAGCCTCCGATTTCCTGCAGCCTCTCCCTGCCAGTGAACGTGTGACCCTCTAGGCACAGCACACCCCTGCATCCAGCCCAGCTCACTCTCACTGTGAAACCCTCAGGCTCTCTCCCTGTTTGCTCACCCCTGACAGACCCCACTGGCAAACAAGACACATACTTCCCCCTTCACCCCTACCAGAGCCCACGGAACTGTCCTGTCAGGCATAGGACACCGCCAGATGGCTTAAAAACGGCCACGTCTGGGCAAAAGACAAAGGATCTGTGGCACATCTAATCATGGTATGTTGGCATCAGAAGAGATCTGAGACACTTTAGTTTGTGGATCCTCATTTTCCAAATGAAAACGCGGGAACAGGCAGTTAAGCAAGCCTCCCAGACGTTCAGCAGGAGACACGTGACCCTGGGGGAACAATCTGGTGGTTCTGGACTCAGTGCTTTTCTCTGAGACTGTGACAACCAGTCAAAGGGGAGAAGCTGGAGCAGGCTCCGCGGTGGCAGAGCCAAGGCTGGGGGTAAACGGGGAGAGGGCACGCCCTTGGGAAGAGGGGGCCTACGGCTGAGAGGTACGTCACAAGGTTACAGAGAAGATAGACAAGGCCCTACCCTGAGTGTGAGAGACAGAGGGGAGCGTCCGATCAGCGGCCGCTGCTGTTCACCAGGCCATGAAACTCCTCCCAGGCCCTGGCAAACCAGAGACAAAAAACACAATAGCACATTCAGATCAACAGCTTTTTAACAAAGAGAGCACAGACACGATAACCCCACAGCCCACTAGAGATCCCTCAAGGTGGGGCGGAGCCCCCGTACTCAGGCGCGCAGCGGTCAGGCCTCTCACCTAGACGCTGCCCTCACGGTAGCAGTGGTGGCCAGTGCCCGAGGGCCAGTTGGCACTGCCCCTGGCTTGCTCGGCTAGCGAAGTCTGGCCCTCACCATCCTCTCAAGCAAATGCCACAGTCCCTCCACCTGATGCTTCAAGTCTACGGGGAGGCGCAGGAGGTCAGAGCTAAGCCCAACCCGCCCTGGAGACACCCCCAATGACTGGGGTGGAAGGCAGCAGTGCATTCTGCCTTGGGGGCGTGAGGGCAGGTGGCAGAAGCGACTTCTCTTCACCAGGCCTCACTCTGCGGGTAAAAGGCAGGTGCCCAACAGCACGACAATGGCTGGGGATGCGATGAAGCAACTACAGCGCTTTCTCTGCTCTCATTTGCAGCTGCTGGACCCTTCCCAACTCACACCCCAAATCTGCATCAGGTTCCATCTCTTTCTGGAAATACCCATGATCTACTACCTTAAACTTTAAACTGTGTTAGCTCATACTTCTAGGGCTCAATGATCCTTGTAACTTTCCTGCCAGTTAACTTGAGTTAGTGATTGGGGTTAGGAAGGAATAAGAAATGGGACTGCGGGGTGCCCAGTCTCTCCAGGTGCTGCTCCACGAAGAACAAGCCGTTAGGGACTGCTGGCCAAAAATGGGAGAAAACCAGGTCCTGAAGCCCTAAACCACACCTCAAGTTTCCTCAGAGAAGCTGATGTCCTACCTTTTGGCCCAGTCAATTTTCAGCCCTATTAGGAACAAAGTGCCTGGTAAGTTCCTTGGGAAATATATATATCATGTAGTGGGTAATTCAGTGCTTCTAACTCTAAAATTCCTTATTGACAATTAATCCACTCTCAGTTTAAAGGAATGACAAAATCCTGGTGACAACACAGGTCACTCAGTACAGGTTTAACATTATGGCCAATAGAATATACTTCATTACCAGGTCTTCTACAGGTAAGTTTTCTTTTTTTTTAAGTAGGGAGGGATTAAATACAGAGACGTGGTACAACAAATTCCTTCTTCCAGGTAGTATTTATACCAGTTTCATTAGTTTTTTCCTTTTGAATAGGAGTAATTATAAGTTAGTGATCTCTCAGAATAAGAGGTTATCTGCAGTAATGGTTTCTTTAGAGAGTATTACCAAAACTACTAATACACGCTAACTGAACCGCTGATCAAGCGTCAGTCTTTGTCAATTCACAAACTCAATTTCCTCAGCAAGACATCTGTTCCACAGCCCTTTCTGGAGAGATGCTGATACGATGAACGTCCTGAGTCCACGAGTGACACCAGAAGGCTCTTTCATTCTTCCTTCCACATGAAGATAAGGGCAAATCTGATGCTGGGGCAGCGACCTAGGAAACCCCTCTGTCCTTCTAATAGTGAGATTTCAATCCTATTTTAAGCAACTTAGGCGTCAATAAATTACAAGGCTGTGTTGAAGCTTCATCTCATTTATCCTTTTGTTTCCAGAATGGCCTACGCTAGTCCAAACAGAGCAGTTCTCAGTGTCAAGAACCAGCAAAATTACAGATTTCAGAGTTCCCTCTAGTCCATTGCAGTGTGAGACTGCCCTCCCGTTTTCTTCGGAAGTATCTTCTTCAGGTGCTAAACCTCCACACGAAGAGTCTGGGTCTAGTAATTTCCTTACACAGACTCCATGGAAACCAGTTGGCCATGGTTACTGGAACAATCACACTTGTGTAATGCAGGCCAATGCTTTGCTAAGAGACAAGTCAACTACCTAAAACTAAGTGCAAATATTCTAAGTATTCTCCATCTGGCATCCTATGCATACTAGTTAATATTAAAACTTGCTTCTTTTAAAGGTAAAGAAAGAACAGGTTAAATGTTACAAGTGTCCTATGAATGGAGTTTCTTTAAAAAAAAAACCAAACAAACAAAAAAATTATTGAGATTAGCAAAGTACAAGGAATTCTGAACAGATTCAAATGACAAAGTGACAGTCTTTTAAAGACCACTCTTGTCCCAGCTCACTTACCAGAAAACAAATTCTGAGAAAAGAGATCTCATTTCTGTGTAACTGTCCTTGCCCCCATGCCACTCAAAGCCTGGCTCACGGCCTTGCACTCAGCTGGCCCTCAATACTCACGGCCGTACACGGCCCCCGGCTAGTCTGGGCTCTCTTTGCTTTGAGCTCCAGCATGGGCACCACCTCATAGACGCGAAGCCAGGCCAGCAGTTACTCAGGTGTGGTCTGGGGCCACCAGCCTACGATTCTATGATTTAGCCATGTCAGGAGAACAGATGACAGCTGGCTCTTGCCTACAAACTTCAATGTTTACATACAATGGTATCTGGATGTGGTAAAGTCCCCATGTCTGACCCATCTCTCCTTCGGAATAAAGGAATAAAGAGAAGTCACCTACCCTCAACTTCCTCTGCAGAGGGGTCTGGTCAGACTCCCCAGTACTGTGGCCCACTGAGTGGAGCTGGCCCTGTCTTCCCCTTTTCCGTTCCAGGCCAGATGCACAAAGGAACTCAGTGGGACTATTCCAAAGAGAAATTTCCTCACGAAAGACACTGCTGCTTTATGTGGCTCTGTGCCAACTTTTATCCCGGTGGTCCCCTGGGGGTCCCCTGGTGGTTGCAAGTCTGGCTGCATTATGAGACTTCTCCTCAAAAGAGGATACAGTTAGTTACTTGATGTTTGCAAGTACCCAAACCTAGGAAGCCTCAGCTATGATTGGTCTCATTAAAAGGAGCCACGCACCAGAGCTAACACTCAATTTAACAGGTTTCCCATTTCTCAGTGGAACCTGCTCACCCTTACGGGGTGAACTATTGGCAAGGGACAGGGGTAAGCAGCGGCAGGCAGGCGTCCCCTCTGCAGCAAAGCAGCTCACCACACACTGAATGCGGCGTTTGCCTCTCAGCCCGCCTAAGAGTGCAGCAGGAAGAGGCCACAAGCAGTGAATAGGGGAAGGCTGGAAAAACCAAACAGGTGAAAAAGGACATTGAAAACTGGACTGAAACATAGCAAGGTGGAGAAACTTGACTGAGAAGCCTAAGCTACTCCAAAAAAAGTGCCCCTCACCATTTCCAGCAGCCTAATCTCCAGAGAACTTGGGGAAGAGCAAATGTTGGCCCTTTCTTCCTTCACTTTCCTTGAATTCTCAAGTCCCAGCAGCTGCTGCTCTTTGGCTTAACCCAAGCCACTGCTTGTGGCTCCATGAGGACTACAAAACAGACACAGTTCTGACTTCTTCTGTTCACATTTGGTGAGGATCACAGGGGGCTCAGGGTAGGTTTGGTGCTTTCTGATCAACTCTTACTCTGGAAGGTGACATCAAGCTCATCTCCTGGACCAGTGATATAGCTGAAATTAAGGTCAGTACATGTAAGATAATATTGGAAGGCAAGAGGGAAGCCATAGGAAGTAGTTCTTTGACAAGTGCTGAAAACACAGAGCATAGGCATTTCCATATGCCAACAAATCTCCCATTTTCTAGGTACTTCAACCAATTTGGGATATGCAGTAAACAGACAAACAATGACACAAACACCTCCAGAATGTTGAATGCTAGTCCCAGTGTGTGTTCTGTGAGATCCCGGGCCACGGGGAGCCTGGTCGTCAATGTAAAAGCACAGGGTGTTGCTGCCAACATGGAATGGCCGCTTTGGAAGACTCCACATTATGCCAACAGCCACCTTCAAGAGCTATCAGGCAACCTGACCTCGAGTTCTGTAAAAACGGTTTCTTTTTGGTTTCGGTAGTAGCTCCCAAGAAAACCTAAAGTGACATGAGGCCTGCTGGAATTCTACATGCGGGTTAGGGGCCTGAAGGCCAAGCTGCAGCGCATACAAGCCAAGCCACAAAGCATACAAGGGGCTGGTATGTCCCAAGGTCAGCTAGCCTACGGAGCGAACTCCTACGGGACGAAGACACTGCCCCGTCCCAGATCCTGATGCACAAAACCCTGGGAGAAGGGCTACAACCTTGCAACCTTGCAAGCAGGACTAGCCCAAAGAGGAAGATGATTTGGTTCTCAATGGAAAACAGAGGGAGAAGGCTGGCAAGAGCCTGCGGCTTGGGCAGCTTTGGCACAGTGAGAAAACCCTGTTAACACAAAGCAAGGAGACTATAGACACACAGCCACACACAGACAGAAGCAGGGCTTTACCTCCAAGCAAGAGATTTCTTTGAAGTAAAGGCAAACAAAGCGAAGCAAAGGCCAAGGATCCCCCTTTCCAACCTTAACAGACTTTCAAGCCGAATTCGAATCAGAAATCACTCTGTTCTGGTCATCAGCGTGACCAGATGGGAACTACAATTCAAGTACCAGAAAATGGGGTCTCATTTTGAGAGCGAGATGTCACCTCATTATGTCAGACCTCAGCAGAACTGGAACAAAATACCATGTGACCCTACAATGGGCTTATGGAAATGAGGCTGCATTCCCCAGATGGCCCTCCGTGGAGAAGTCTGTGCCATTCCTTAATATGGTGACAGTCAGTCTGAAAGGCCACTTCTTTGATGCACCATAAAGAGCAAGAGCATGAGACAAGCTAGTTTAGCACCATTTATTAAGTGATCTCAGCTGTTGTTGTAGCTGCGTGTCAGCCTGTTCTTAAAACATAAAATGCTCTTCCAATTCCTCTTGTCCAGGACAGAAGGATCTTCCAGGTAGCACGCCAACAGAACAAGAGACTCCGATGATGCCAGCTTCAATGACGGTGCCATCCAGAGAGGGGGAGGGTCATGGCACATTCAACCGCGGCTTCCAGAGGTTTTGAAAAAGGAGCCTTTGGGGGCCCAGCCTGCCTGGCATTCTAGTGGAAGTGCAAAAGGTGGGCACATTGGGAGAGGAAAGAGAGGGAGACGCAAGGGAAAGTAGCATCTGGGAATCAAGGAGGGTTTTCTGGTCCCTGGAGCTGCAGGGCTGGAGTGCTAGGCAGATCTCTTGATAAAGCAGCGAGCAGCAGACTAAGGCAAAAAGCCTACGGGCTCTCCTAGACTTGTAAGGACTTGTACACTTTTCCATAAAAGTCAGGAAGAACCATCTCAGGGTATTAGAGAGGGAGAACAGCGGAGAGGGGAGAGTTGAAAAAAATACCTCTTTCCCTTTCCTATCCAGGTAAAAAGGTTACTTTGGGGGAAAACAGGGGACGGAGGGCACTGGGGAATCTTGAACATAAGAGTCCTAGAAACAGGAGGTGTGGATCTCACCAGCCTGGACTGTATCTGGCAGGAGGGCAGAAACTACTCTCTCCCAGAACAAAGAATAGGGAAAATCTGCCTAGAGAAAAACCATGCTAACTCCAGACTGCTAAGGCAAGCAACCAGGGCCAGGGCTGCCTAACGCCTATTGGTGGCTACGATGAGTCACACCCAGCCATTTGATTACGGACCAACTCTTGTGGCAGTGTTCCCAGGAGAAAACTGGCACTTAGCTAGTTTAAACCAACTCCACCCACATTATCTCTGAATGCATGGGAAAAAAGATTCCCAAATGGTCTGCCTGCTGAACACCATCACTGGGCTCCCTACTAGCCTTAAGTAAGAATAACATGATGATGATATTATTACTAATGATGACGATGACAGCAGTAGTAATACTTGGCCCTGTAAGAGCATTCTCCACCTGAGGACCTTCAATTACAAAGATTAAATCCGCCTCACAACAACCCTGTTATGTAAAGTAGTATTATCTCCCATTTACAGATGGGGAAACTGAAGCAGAGTGGTAGAGACTTGCCAAAAGCACATATTGATACTGGAGTCAAAGAAGAAAGTTAAACCTAAAAGTCTTGACTCCTAGTTGGCTAGCTCTCCCTCTCGTTTTGAGAAACCTAGCAGCCACTCCCCATGACTTCTTCATAATAACCTGAATGTATTTATGACATCCAATCACTGAAGGAGCAATCCTAACCAGTGATTCTCATTTGTGGACGTCCAGCTCTAGGTACCCCAAGTCCTCGGGAGATCACAAAGCTTGCTTCCTCTTCGGCATTCGTGCTTTCCCCTTAGATTCTACTCTCACACACACACTATTCTTCCTCTACAATGTCAGCTCTGCACACAAGGAAGTGGAGTCATCATTCCCAATAAGAAGTCAATTTCCCAGGACAGAGAAAACAGACTGACGCTAACAAGTTAAAAAGACATGCAAAAGTGGGGTGAGGGGCAGACAGGGAGGAGGACTTGACTGTTCAGTGAAATTATCTTAAAAAACAGCAAGAAAAGGAAGAGCACTTTGTCTTTCATTTTAAGATAGTGGTTAGTGAACGAAAGACAAGACAGCCTGTGTAAATAAAGCAAGCCCAGGCAGTGCAACCGGGACTCTGCAGAAGGGCTCTCTCTGATACAAAGCACCCCACAGTGTAGGTGGCCAGGGAGCCTCACCAGCAAAGAACTGCTACAGTGGCCGGAAGCACTAGCGGGGAAGACTGCTCTGCCCCTCCTGCATAACTCAGGCTCCTGTACGACCATATTCCTCTGGGCCCAACTAAGGACCTACTTCTGCTAAGCTTAGGGACATGCCCCCCAAGCACCCCCAACACGTACTTGATGCTGTCGGTGTGGGTTTTGTACTCCATAATGGTGTTGGGAGGTAGGTTAAGCACTCGCCGAAGCGTATCCCGGATTCGGGCTGTGGTTGCTTGGTCACTGGCAGTCTTATTCCATATTGAAATAATGTCCTCCTATAGGAGGAACAGAAGGAATGGTCAAAGCGAACCAGAGGCAGTGAGGAGAGCAAAGCACCACAAGAAAGCAGACCTGCCCACGGGGTGGCTTACCTGAAACCGGACAGAGACCACAGCCCCACAGATCTCCTCCCCAACCATGAACTGTTCCCCCAGCATGGCCAGGATCAGGTTCTCCCAGCAACGGGATGCCAAGCCCTTCCGCAGCCGAATAATCCACTTGCCACCATTTTTATTTGCATCATCCTGTATAAGAGAGAAAGCATTAAAGTTGAAACGTGGTTTCACAACTCTTTTACTTTTGCATGAAGCCAAGAAAAAAAAACAAGGATGCCTTGAATGCTAAGAAGTCCTGTCACTTTCCGGTTATTCAACTTTATAGGAAAAATGATGGTAGGACTAGGTAGACAAGAACTGGGGGGGAAAAGAAGGTGGGACTCTTTGGCATAAGCCATGACAATAAATGGTTAAACTGACCTTTTAAAAACAATGCTCCTTTTCTGGAACTACTTTAGGAATCAAAATGAAATGATGTCAGATTTCAAATACCGATCATTCCTTGCTTCATTCACTAAAAGTTCACCAAGTGTCACCATGTCTCAAGTACACAGACACAGTCTCTACCTCGATCTGGTCTAGTGGAGGAGGAGAGAGCCTAGGAGATGAATTGCAGCAGCACAGTCTGACAAGTGTTGTAGCAGAAGTTAAAGAGGAGCAAGACAGAAACACTCAAGAAGAGGAAACGTTTAAGCTGGGTCTTGGACGACGTACAGATCAGGCAGGTAAAGCAGGTGGAGGGATCTGCAGGCACTGAGAGACACCTGTGTACAAACTGAGACAGTGTGTCACAGAGGTGCAAAGAGGAAGGCCAGCTGCACTGGAGGGAAGGCCTAGCCACTCTGGGGGACGAGGCCCGGAGGGTGACTGCAAGACCACGTGAGCGATGCAGAGCTGCGTCGGGCCTACAGTTGGGTGTGTATGTGTGTGTATTTTCACATTTGTCTTCTATAAAAATGCCCTGGCATCAGAACAGAAGATGGATTACAGCAGAGATCACAGAGCTCAGTTCTGGGTCTCCAGCTTCTGCCTGTAAGTACGCTTACTTTTTACCCACTTCAATCCCACGCACACTACAGTAGTAGATCACATACACACACAACCAGTTTGATGGGAATAAAGGTAACTCAGAGAGAGAATCCTAAGCAGGCTCTGCACCGTGCAGAGCCTAATGTGGGGCTCCGACCCACATACCATGAGATCATGACCAGAGCCAAAGGCGGACGCATAACTCACAGGTGCCCCAAAGGCAATTTTTAAAAAGTCTTTTAATGTTGTTCTAATACCATTTTAGAATCTCTGTAAACCACCCACACAGACAAGCAATGACATCAGTGCCTGGGCCTACAGGTCCTGGCCCTAAGGATGTACCAAATAGTGATGTAGCTTTGAGAGAAGACTTTAAATACTTTTAACCTTGGCAGGGCTAAACAAAGACACTCAGAAAAGTGGTCTGAGGTCCTCAGTGCTCACCTCCCACATAGGTTTAATTCCTTCTTTGAAGAGATGGAAGTCACTGTGGCCCGTCAGGTCGCCGGGACGTACCATGTGGCTGTAAAACCTCCAGAACTGCTCCACCTGTAGAGAGAAGGCCCCAGAGTACAAATGACGTGTCTTTTTTCTCTGAATGAATATGAGATCTAAGAGAAGAACATAAGCATGGAAGACATTCTGCTACAGACTCTACTTTTTGGAAGAAACGCTTTCACTTGGGGGAGTAGGTGAGAAGGAAGGCATGTTGTATGGGAAGGAAAGTACATATTGTTGATACAGGAATAAACTCTTTAGGCAAAAAATGCCAGCCTCAGCCAGGAGCCCTCATTGTGGAGCCCCGGGATAATCATTACATGCTGTAAGGGGACCTTGTTTTACACAGTGGAACGCTTTATTTTAATTATTATTTTTTAAAGTAGGTTCCACCCAACGTGGGGCTTGAAATCACTACCCTGAGATTAAAAGTCGCATGCTATATAGACTGAGCCAGGCCAGAACCCCAGCACAGTGGAATTCTTTCATTTTTGAGGTATACTGAGTGCTACATAACCTCAGTGTATGTGTATTTTTTTTTTTTTAGAACCAAGTCACTTAAAAAAATTTTTAAGTGTATTTGAGAGAGCGCAGGTGCGTGCACATGAGTGGGGGAGGGGCAGAGAGAGAGGAAGAGAGAATTCAAAGCAGGCTCCATGCTGACACAGTGCAGAGCCTGATGCAGGGCTCAAACCCATGAACTGTGAGATCATGGCCCGAGTTGAAATCAAGAGTTGGTTGCTTAACCGGCTGAACCACCCAGATGCCCCAAACTATGTCACTTTTTAAATAAAATACAGTATTATTAACTACAGTCATCATGCTGTATGTCATATCCTGATGACTTCTTTTTTTAACGTTTATTTATCTTTGAGAGAGAGAGGGAGACATAGAGTGCAAGCAGGGGAGGGACAGAGAGAGACAGAGAGAGAGAGAGAGAGAGAGAGAGAGAGAGACAGAGAGAGTCTGAAGCAGGCTCCAAGCTCTGAGCTGTCAGGATACAGCCCGAAGAGGGGCTCAAACTCACGAACCATGAGATCAGATGCTTAGCTGACTGGGTCACCCAGGTGCCACCCCCCATGACTTATTTTATAACCTCAAGTTTGATCATTTCTCAAAGACTGTTCATTGGCAGATTTGGCATTAACTACAACACATACATTTTAGTTCCATTTGGTTACTGTATAAAAGTGATGGAATCTACCACATGCATTACTCGAAACCATGGTGGCTGCTGCTAAGGCCAGGAGGGCCAAAATCAAACAGAACTTAGCCTCTTATACTTGGGGTTTAAGTTTTTCTTCTTAGCTAGAAAATTTAGGTTTCTCCTTGCCTCTCCTTCACCATCCTGTTAGAAAACTAAATAAATTTCTCCATCAGATGCATGCATATTCCTACTCCTCAAGCGATTCCTGCTTACTTCCCTAGTCCTCTGTAACCCACAGAGGATACCCACAGAGTACTGGCTGGTGAAGAGACACGCTTTAGGAGGAGGGAAGAAACAGGGAGCAGTCTGAAGACAGCTGGAATTTGCCAACACACTGCTGAGGAGGAGCTGCAAATGCGTACTTAGCAGACAGAGATTCAGCTCATACTTCTGGATAGCAACTAACGATAAACAGACCTTACACTTTATGAAATAGCTGTTGCTTCAATTCCTCTAAACAAGAGGAACACGGAAGTGTTACAAAGAATCAGGAAGAAATGCCACTCATAGGATTCTGAAGCAAGCTCTCATCTAACAACTGCTATGTTGAACTGTATACGGTGATCAGGCATCATAAGTGGTCATATGCACACAATGAGCAGTAACGTTTCCCCACTCTGACACAGGGGAAAGAAACAAATACACCCACTAGAACCTGTGGCTCACTGTGGATTAAGAATTGGGGGTGGGGAGGTAAGGGAGAAAGTATAACAACCACCCCCAATTTCTTCATCAAGCACTGCTTTTTTTTCTTAAAAAAAAAAAAACAACCTTTTTTTAATGTTTATTTTTGACAGAGAGAGAGATAGAGTGTGAGCAGGCAAGGGGCAGAGAGAGGGAGACACAGAATCCAAAGCAAGCTCCAGGCTCTGAGCTGTCAGCACAGAACCTGACATGGGGCTTGAAGTCACAAACTGGGAGATCATGACCTGAGCTGAAGTTGGACACTTAACCGACTGAGCCACCCAGGCACCCCCAAAGTTTTAAATATTGTCAAATATTAGGATTAAGGACCACTGGGAAATACTGCTTTGGATTTCATTAAGGTTTCACAATGTGATTATTTCTCTGTGAGGAATTTAATATTGGGCGGCATTTCCTAATGCCTTGAATTATATGACAGACAACTTTAAATCCTGTCATCACACATCCAGAGTCTGGGTAAGGCAGTGACTCCAGATAATGCTGATTATGTTGCTCTAGTCAACTCAAAATTTACACCAAAAAAGGAAAAAAAGAAAAAGAAAGAAAGAAAAAAGAAAACCCCCTGGGCACAACTTGGGTGAATTCACATATACCTTTCTTAAGAGGAAAAGAAAAACACTAGAAATGTTCACAATTACCCCCCAAGTAACGGAACAGAACCCTGAATGAAAACGTCCCCCTCCCCCACGTAGCCTTCACTGACCCTCCAAGTGCTCGTCCAGCTGTTCATGACGTAACAGCTGCTACCTTCCCTGTAATGTCTAATATTCCCACAGAGCGGGTCATCAGCATTTTTGTGATAGATTCAGGAATGTCAGGAAGGCACTGATATTTTCAAAAGTTTATTTCTACTGCTTCCTTTATCAAGAATTCCTTTCTTTTTGTATCACCTCTTCAAATTTGTAAGTTTAATTCTATTTAGATATACTTTATTATTTTTGTAGGAACCTCTACACTCAACATGCATGGGACTTGAACTCACAGCCTGGAAGTCGAGTTGCATGTTCTTCTGACTGAGCCAGCCAGGCACTCCTCAAGCTCAATTTTAAGCCCATCTCCTCTGAAGACACTTTCCCCAAGTTGGAATTAATTCCTTCTTTCCTTTGAACTTACAGAGGACTGTAGCCATGCCTTCCTTATGGCACTTCTGTCTCCCTGTATTAGAAATCCCTGGGCAGGACTTCTTTCTCTAAGGGCAAGGTATTAATACACTGCAGAATTCTTAGTGAATTCATTCAACAAACATTTGTTGAACCAAATATGTACCAGTGCACAAGCTTTTTTTTTAGTATTTCAAGAAAGCCTACATTTACCAGTAATAAGGGAGCACAGGGAGGACACCTGGCCGGCTCAGTCAGTGGAGCATGTTACTCTTCAGCTTAGGGTTGTGAGTTTTAGCCCCACGTTGGGCAGGGAGCCTACTTTAAAAAAATAATAATAACAAGGGAGCAGGGGCTAACTAAAACAAGATCCTTGCTTTGGGCTGAAATTATATCAAACCAGCAGAGTAATCAGATAACCTGATTACCAGATACATACACACATCTGAATAGTAATAAATGGATAAACAGTTTGTCTACTAAACAACATTAAAAACGTCAGAGACACCTGACATGCACTCTGGTGTCATGGAAGAGGGGCAGAGTATGTATGGGCTTTGGAATGTGGTTTTATAGGCTACCCAACCTGAGTTTCAATATTGAATCCTCCACTTAGATTATGGCTGACTTGACACTTTGATCAGATACTCAGCCCAAGTCTCACTTACCTCGCTTGCTGTTAAATATGGGTAATATCACTGCTCTCATAGGGTTATCATAATGATCAAAGGAAATGACACCAAGTGCCTATTAACTGTGTCTTTCTTCTTTACCAATTTATTGTAATGTTTACTGTCTGTGATAGTTCCCTTTTCCAGTGTCTAGATTTTAAATAGGAAAAAAAAAATAATTTTAAAAAAATAACAAATTCTGCATTTGATTCTGCCCAGGGAGGAAATGTACAGCACACAGGAAATGCGTGGTAATTTTTGTTGAACAAAACTGGTTTTAGTTGCAGATAACGCTCAGGCTGCAGAAACCTAGGTGCCTGTGAGGGAGACAAGACAGAGCTGGGCTATCTCAGACAGTATCTACAAAAACAATTATTAGGATTTAACTTTCTTTCTGAACACAGGAAAAAGATGTTACTTAAAGATGTTACTTTATACATAATTACTAACCATCCTAATGGGAGGTTCTTTTTTTTTTTTTTTTTTTTAAAGTAAGCTCTTTGCCTCCAAGATCAAGAGTCCCATGCTTTACTGACTGAGCCAGCCAGATGCCCTGTTAATGGGACGTTCTTAATACAAGAGAAACTTTCAAATTTTACCCTTGTCTTTACTGTCAAGCTTCATAAAAGTATATACAATGTATCATAAAATTTTGTATCCCCATGACACTTTGCATATAGTAAGGACTCAATATATATCTATTTAAACAAACCCATATTTTTGTATTGTCTACTTTTGGTCAATTCCACAATTCACATACTTATCGATACCTATGTATGTTACCTATGGATGTCTAATGAGAAATCTCAGGATGAACAAATCTGACCTTAGGGGCTCAAGTCAGTCAAATAAGGAAAGCGGAACCCTAAACACACTAAACAGGTTACCAGGAAGGTAAACAGACACAATGATAGAAGTACAGGCACAGATGTAACAGCAAGGCTCACTACATTAAACCAGCAAGCACTCACGGAGGCAAAGGTGCCAATCTGTTTGATGTTCTGTTCATAGCTCTGTGAGCTAGTGGGGCGGCCGGGGGTCCTTCTGGAGTACCAGAAGGTATAGTTGTACTGCAGCGGGTGCTCTGCTGGCCCAGGGACGACAGCCTGCGAATTAAATAAAGTGTGTTAATCTGGGGCAATTTTCACATGATCTGAGATTGAGAAAACATTTTCAAGTGTCACCCCTTACCACCTCCACAAAAAGGCTGTATCTTCAATTACCTGCATGCAATATGCCCAAGATTCTGCTTACACAGTAAATTATTTTTGAGAGAGAGACAAACAGACAGACAGACAGACAGACACACACACACACACACACACATACACACACACAGTGTAAGTGAGGGAGGGGCAAAGAGAGGGGGAGACAGACTCTGAAGCAGGCTCCAGGCTCTAAGCTGTCAGCACAGAGCTTGACGCAGGGCTTGAACCCACAAACTGTGAGAGCATGACCTGAGCCGAAGTCAGATGCTTAACTAACTGAGCCACCCAGGTTTCCCTACACAGTAAATTTCTTCAGTGGTTAAATGATTCTAAATTCCTCTAACATTTTATCTATTTTTCTATTGCTTCTTTAACTTTCTGTTTTCTATCACAAGTATTTATGTTTATATCTTATCTCATCCAAGTACTCCCAGGCCAAGTACTCCCAGTGCCTCTCCTGTGACACTCTATCACTTATTGGCTAGTGACCTGGGCAAGCTGCTTAACCTGTATGTGCCTCAACTGCTTATATGCAAAATGAAGAAAATAATATCGTAGAGTTGCTGAGAGGATCGATTAACTTAATAGATGTGAAGTGCTTAGCATAGTGCCTGGCACATAGTAAGTGCTCAGTGTCTGCTATTATTAGTGCTACTATTTAATGTAAGCTCCTTGCTCCACAGTCTCATTCACCTTTGTGTTCTTTTACCACCTACAATGCTTATATCTGGATGACACTTGATCTTGTGAAATAAATGTTTTAATATCATGAAATCGATCCATCTATCTCTCATTCTCTAAATTTTCTCCTTTCCAAGTCACTTTCAGCTTAGATTATTACTGCTTAAAGAGTCTAAAATTTCAAGGATGTGTAGGATTTGAAATACTCAGCAACAGCTTATGAAGCAACAAACAGTCTTGTTCAGGTCCACGGTTAATCTCTCATACTGGGAGAATGCTGGAAAGCAAGACAAGATCTCAAGATCATGTGGCAAGGGAAAAGTTCTAACTCCCAACATGAACGCCAGTGATTCAACAATCATTTTTTGAGAACAAAAGCAGATATTCCAAAATAGGGCACCATCGAGTTAATCTGGTATCTTTCACATAAACAGATTCCACAAGATAACGGGGTCTCAAGTCCAAAGGCTACTGTATCTATACAGCACAAAACTCACCTTCCTCTTACTGGTGCCCTGACCCTTGTCTCGTTCCGTTTTTTCCTTCTCACCATCTTTCTGTGTGCTGTTTTCTTCATTCTGATCATGGTCCCCACTGTCATCGTCTTTCAATCTAAGTGGGAAGGTAAAACAGTATTAGGCGACGACTGAGCTGATTCTTGCTTACTTAACAAAGCTGCCAAGTCAAATGAACTACCATATAACCAACCCCAAGTCACTCAAAATACAGGCAATGATATGTACATGAGATGAGGGAAGGGCAAGGGAGTGTAGAAAGTTAAGTAGGAAGAATTAAAAAAAAAAAAAAATGCTGTCTTCTAGTTTTCTAATAGGCGAAAAGCAAAAGGCAAGCAGTTTAAGGGATTGTTTTCTTTGCCAAATGTAATGAGTCAATAATGAGAAGACTTTCTGGATTATGTAACTGCTCTGGCATTTCAAATGAAGTTTAAAAAACTTAACCTTTCTTTCTTGCCACTTCTTCTAACCATCTCTTCTATCCTTCCCCACTGCCACTGCTTTCGCTCAGGCCCTCCTCTGTCGCCTTAGTTATTACAATAAATTCCTAAATGGTCTCCCTGACACAAATCCTCTCCACTCTCTACCCACCCTCCATATAGACACTAAGCATCTTTCTAAATGCAAATCTCATCATTTAACTTCCACACTTAAAACTGTCAACTGTCTTTTGCCTCTTGATGCCCACCTGGAGAATAAAGTACAATAACACATAAAATCCTCTAGAATCAGACTCCTGCCTACTGACATCCTCTGTTCCTTCCCATCTCCCAAAGCAACCCATAGTCCCACAGCTGTGCTATGTGCAAACAATACCCCTCAGCTCAAGGTGCCATTCCTCCCATGTCTGTTTTTCCTATTAATTGGATGGATCTCATTGAACAATTTTCGGCACTAAGGAAAAGAAGATGCTGCCCTAATACACAGCACAGGATGTTGAATCAATATTAAATAAAAACAAAAACAACTGAAAGAAGGAATGAATGTTTTTTTGCCTGGTAAGTCTGGTCAAACGTACAGTAGGTGCTACCCTTCTAGAAGCAGTGAAACTACCTCAGGCTTTCAGGTACATCTAAAGTTCACAGAAGGGGCACCTGGTTGGCTCAGTCGGTTAAGCGTCCGACTCTTCGTATCGGCTCAGGTCGTGATCTCTCCGTGGTGAGATCGAGCCCCATGCTCAGCTCATCGTGGAGCCTGCTTGAGAGTCTCTTGGGATTCTCTCTCTCCCCGTCCCTCTCTCTCTGTCCTCCTTCCCCACCCCCAAGATAAATAAAAATAAACTTTGAAAAAAAAATTTCCCTGGATTCAGACAAAAAGAGAAGTAGAAGGTGAATTCACAAAGATAGTAAGAATGCCATTTGGTTTAGAGCTGGACCATTACCTTATTATGGATCTCCTCTGAAATCACCTCTGGCCCAAATGACTATCTAGCCAAACGGAATTAGGTAATTCTCAAGAAAGGTACTAGAAATGCTCAAATGATGATATTACTTTACATACCTACAGAAACATGTTGCAAAGCATTTTGCTTTTTTTTGGCCCACAAATCTCCAGCACCTAGCACTTAAAAAGCACTTGATAAATATTAGAATGCACCAACTAGCCATGTGCTGAGGTGTACCTTCTGCCCATTCCACAGTCCTACCTGTAGGATATATTCAGGTGGGCCACACTATGAATGTCCCCATCCTCACCCTGGTCAAGACCTGACTATGAAGGGCACCTGAACAAAGGGCAGCCCCCAGCCTGGCCAATAACTAATACATCATGGTCTTGTTCAAAACTATGAGTACATTCCTTCCTCAGTATTTTATCCTGGACATGAAAGATCACACAGATTCAAGAGCTGGGGCAATCATATGGGGCCCTTATGAGAAAAACCACGAGGGAAACACAATGAGCAAATACAAAGAAAGCCAGTAGGGAGAAAGGGAATAGAGCAGAGAAAGTGGAGAGAAAAGTGGTTCTGTTTGTGAGGCTGCCATCTCAATGACAGACTTCTCATCTCCCCAGACTTCTGGGAAAACATTATCTGTGCTTATGATACTCCTTATTAAACTGGAGTTGGTTTGCTTAACTTTCCAAAAGAAACCTGTATAGCGTGCAGTCCCACATTCTACCAAGCCACTTACTGTGTGTATCAGATGCTACAGAGTGCCTGTCCCCAAGGACCTGACCGAGGAGGTAAGACAGATATACACGCTTGGGCCTCAACATGGTACAAAGGTCCTGATCTGGGTATATGTGCCAATATCACCTCCTGCCTGGTCCCAACAAACTCGTTCCACTCTAGTGTTATCAACCTACCTGAGTTCTCCGATCGCACCCTCTGTTATGCTCATCATGTGGTTCCACCTTGGAGAGGCCCTCTTCCCCTGCTTAACTTGTCCTTTAGGACTCAGGATGAGAGCCGCTTTCTCTTAAAAATATTTTCTAATCTCTGCCTAGGCTGGATCAGGCTCCCCTCTTCTGAACCTCACCATATAAATATTTGTACTTGTCCCCGCTATGATGCCATAGCCAATGTTCCGGCTCATGATCAAAAACATCTCGTAGGTTTTTATACTGCACAGGCCCAAGACAGCTCTTAACTTTCTTCTTTACAGGATACGCCAGGACTCAAACCATTTCTCTCAGCTCCTGGCCTTGGGGGTCCCTTCCCATTAAATCTTCAAGTCACCCCAGCATCTCTCATTTTACTAGCCCCAAGAAAAGCAGAAGTCCCTTTCTTTTTAATGGTTTTGCTGCTAATCACTAAGAAACAGAAAAAAAAAATAGTGAAAATAATTACATTCAAGAACAAACAATGCTGCGATCCCGGGACACACTTCCTGACTCCCTCTGGAGATGGTAAAAGGAAATCCTAACAGACCTTCATCTTATATTGTATTGTTATTCCTTGAGGGTGGAGCTAACCAACCACCCTGCCCACTAGCCTCCACTTAGGGCAAATGACTTGCGTCTTATCTTCCAGAGGCTACTCTTCCCAACCAGAAGTTGGATTTGAGCCAAGATACAACCAGGACTAAATATTTGTGCTCCACAGACACAGGCAAGCAATTAGCATATCTATGGCTGTCCAGACCAAGTGGCTCCAAGTCAGCTCACCAAACTTCCATCCAGGCATGTCCTCATACCCTCTAAGCAGACTGATTCCTTGTGGATCTAGGAACTTGGTCTAACTCATCTTTACAGGTCTAGCATCAGACAAGAAGCAGAAAACAAACAGGTGTACTGAATGGACTTCTAAAATCAAAGCAATACAAGGCAGAATCATATGAGCACCAAACAGGAGATTCAAACAATACTTTAAGAATGGGCCAAAAGCAAGTGAAGAGAGAACAGTGGCAAAATCAAGTATGGCATCTAGATCTGAAAACCAAGTTCAATGCAGTTTGGGACTGTGGAACAGTGAAAGCATCTTAGGGTTTCACATGTCAATAGCAACAACTACAATGTAGCTAACTGACTTAATAAATGTGGGGGGTGGGGTGCAATTATAGTTCTAGGTTACACTCACAGAGGTTGGGCCCACACAATAGGGGAGGTTAGAGCTCTTCTTTAACCTGAGCCTATCTCTTTAAACTACAGTACCCAGCTCCAGGCACTGGACTTTTGGGATGCTGGCAAACTGGAACCTTAGAAACAGTTCTTAGGAACCATGTGGTGAAGAGCTTAAAAGCCAAACATGTAACAATGGTCTGAAAACTGCAGACTTTTGGGGCAGCTGGCTAAGTCAGACAGAGAAGCACGTGACTCTTGGTTTTGGGGCCATGGGTTCAAGCCCCACACTGAGTGCAAAGATTTTTTTTTTCATGTTTTAATGTTTATTTCCAATAGAGAGAGCATGAGCTGGGGGAAGGTGGGGAGGAGGGGGCACACAGAGAGAAGACACAGAATCCGAAGCAGGGTCCAGGACCTGACTGTCAGCACAGAATCCAATATGGGGCTTGACCTCACAAACTGTGAGATCATGACCTGAGCTGAAGTTGGACACTTAACCAACTAAGCCACCCAGGCGCCCCAAAGATTATTTAAATAAACTTAATACACTGCAGACTTTTCACATGAAAAACAAAAACAAAACCAGGGGCAGAAGAGAGGTCTCCAACTGCTAATTTCAAATAAACAAAAGCTTTGGTTCTTTTCCTGCACAGCTAGAAGAGAGAGGTTTAAAAATTGGGCATACTATAAGGAACGGTTAATAATTAGAACGGATGGAAAATGACCCAGGTTAATTTTTGCCAAGAGGTACCTGCACCAAGGTTAAACAACAAACCTGGGTATGAGTCCCACCATATGGGCCTTCCCATTTTTGTCCAAGTTACTTAACCTCAGAGGGCCTCATTTTCCTATCAGTAAAAGGAGATACCATGATCTCCTTTGCAGGGTTGTTAGGAGCAGAAATAATATACAGAAAGTATCTAGCAAGATGCCTATGGAAAGCAGTATTACCATTCTTTTTTCTTTTTTAAGTATGTTTTCACACCCAGTGCAGGGCTTGAACTCACAACGTTGAGATCAAGACCTGAGCTGAGACCAAGAGTCAGACACCTAACCGAATGAGCCACCCAGGAGCCCCACATTATTACCATTTAAATTAGCTTACTGCAGATCCCCAAATCCAAATGATCTGGATAGGGGCGCCTGGAGGGCTCAGTCGGTTAAGTGTCCGACTTCTGCTCAGGTCAGATCTCGCAGTTTGTTGGTTCGAGTCCCGTGTCGGGCTCTGTGCTGACAGCTCAGAGCCTGGAGCCTGTCTTCGGATTCTGTGTCTCCCTCTCTCTCTGACCCTCCCCTGCTCACGCTGTCTCTCTTTCTCAAAAATAAATAAAACGTTAAAAAAATTAAAAACAAAAAACAAATGATCTGGATAGAACTGGGTTAGATGACCCAGAAAATATCTTCCCAAGATGAAATTTTGACCTGTTCAGTTCAGTGGAAGAAGGGGTATAGGATTTGCAGACAGTTTCTCTGAGGGAGGACTTAGATCTAGAGTTAGGTGTTGCAGAGATTAAGATGAGGGGTACAAACAGGGGAGCAGAGGGCAGAGCGGCCATTCCTACTGAAACGGGCACAGCTAAGCAGCAGGCTGGGGAAACGTTTGGCCAAAGACTTCTTCCAAGTAGCAGAGACTTCTCAGCAACCTGTACACATTCCTGAGGAGCTGGACTCTAGGACTCCTAAGTTTGCAAACCAACACTCACTGTCCTGGAAAAAGCCCAATTTCCCATCAGCAGCAGGTCACAACCTAAATTAACAGTGGCTCCGTTTATTCCTCACTCTTAGCAATTAACAACGAACCTTGAAACCCTGCTGAGTGTGATTTGGCACTAGCCACCAACGCGGTTGAGATAACAATGGCTGGGTACCTCTTCTACTGTCCAGTAACTGGTAACCGGTGGGTCTGGGGCTGGAGACCCAGGTCTCTGGAGATCAGATTTACTAGCCGGCCGGCAGAGAGCTAAGAACTACCTCAAGATACAATCGCTAGAGGGAAACATGCAAAAATACTATGCATTTCCTTTTTGGCGTTTCCACTTGTTCGATGCTGGACCGAGGGGCCAGACAGGGTACATACAGGAATGGGAGAAGGGGGCCATGACAAGGAGGCTCGTTGGGCACGGGAACAGCAGCTCCTGGGGGGTGGGCTGGAAGGGAAAAGGGGGCGGAGAAAGGAAGCGGGAAGGAGCCTCAGGAAGACGCTGAGAATTCCGTAACCGAGCAGCCGCTGGGTGTCACGGCCACGTTACCTCACTGCAGCTATACAACTCTGCGACCCGGACTGTGTTACCGTCCCCACTTTGCAGATGAGGAAAACGGACTCAGGGAGGCGAGGTGACCTGCCCAGGCTAGAGCGTGTGCGTGTGGAAAGCCGGATTCAGAGGCAAGGAGGCCAGGCTGCGGAAACACCCAAACCGCCGCCGTCTCCGCCCTTCCACGCCGCTGGCAACCTGCACCCACCGGGGCGGGGCGTCCACAAATCTCCTTCCGGGCGGCACTGCCACCTCCTCCCCGCGACCCCGCGCTCCGCCCTCGGTCCATACGACCCCGAAGCCTGTGGGACCCCTGCATCACGCCTCCCCAGCCCCCTCTCTCCTTCCCCGCCGGCCGCCAGGGCGGCCCGCAGCCCAAGCCCGGGAGGGAGGCCGGCGCCTGGGAGTTTCGCCGCCGCCAGCCCCGGTGCGGGTGGGCGCGGGGAACGGTTGGGGGGAAGGGGCCCCCGGGGGGCGGCCACGCGCCACTCACGCGTCGAACTTGTTGTTCATCCTCTCACCGCCGCCGTCGCCACTGCCTCACGGAGTGACTTCCGGTCCGCCGGGTCCCCTCCCGCTTAGGGCCCGGCCACTTCCGGCTGCGCAGCGCGTAGCGGAACGTCTGCGCGCTGGGACCGCGTGGGGCCAGTATCCCGGGACGCCAGACCTGGGCGGCTTCCCGGAGGCTGGGGCTCCGCGGCTCCTGCGGGTTGCGGGCGCCCACGCTCTCTGGGTTCCTGTCGCCAGCCCCTGGCGCCTCCAAGGAAACCGTTTCCGTCCGAGGGAGCGTCCCGATCCCCCTCCCGCGGCGGCTGGGAGGAAGAGGCAGAGCTGCGTCGCCGACGCTGCGGGCTCTGGACTGCCTGCTTCGTACAAATCCCCGACTCCACGCCCAGTGCGGGCTGCACCAGCTTGGACTCTCTTTTAACTTCCCCGAGGTTGTTTCCTCTTCTGCACTGTCCATATTGTATTACAGTACCTGCCTCTTCGTGTTGCCGTGGGGGTCTGACGGGACGATCAGTGTCCGGCGCTAGACACAGCAACCCTCAACAAGTGTAGTATTGTTAATTTCTGCTTCGTTGTGCGAGGAGCTAACGAGAACCACAGATGGGCCCCCCATCATCAAATTGCCTCCCGGATCTGAGTCTCTGTTCCAAATAACACGGGCAGCATGCATGTACCCTGGAGTTAATGGAATGAACTTGCTGGTGGTTGAGCACCAAAGCCAGCAACCCTGTACTTGGGAGAGGGGGGGTTATTCCTGGGGTCCCCTCCCCTCCCCCAACAGTGTCCCATCGTCAGGTCTTCATGTGACACTTTCCCATTTTTGAATCACTTTGATCTGCACCTTTGTCCTCTGATAGGAGGTAGATAGGGTACCCTACCTGATAGGGTAGATAGGAACTGAAATCTGTACCCATATTTACAGATAAAATTGTCTCATCACAATCAGAACTCTGGCGGGAGCTGTACTCTCAGACCAGGGCCTTGGCTCTCTCCCGGGAAGACCTTGGCTGGCGATCTTGTCTCCTAAGTGGGGCCAAGCAAGGCTGGTCAGGGTCTCCTTTCAGAAGGCAAAGCCCAGCAGTTCCCTGTTACCTCCCAGCCTCTCTGCCTAGCTCTTCCCTGTCTTAACCAACCTTTGGCACCAGTGCAAATGCCCTGGCCTTTGAGAAGAGAAGGAAGAGGGGTCTGTTTTCCAGAGGAATAAATCTTTCTTGGAGTGTCTAGAACTGGGTTGGGAATTCTGGACTCCAAACTTTATTTAGCCACCAGTGTTCTGAGAAGTCCCTCTTGCTCTGGGCCCCAATTTGCCCATCTGAAACATGGGGGAATAGTGACTCTTGCTTGTCCATGAGGACGTGAAGAGCTCTTAACTCATAAAATCTTCTGTGATTAATGATTAAAAATGCATATGAATGGAAAGGTCCCTGGTGCAGGCGAGTACTGGGTGCCCATCGCACCCAGAAGACAGAGGAGGGAGATGCAAGCAGGAGTGGGCTGCTGCCATTCTTTTGAGAGAACATTGCCTGCTGCTCTTCACATCTCTTTTGACTTCCTTCCTCTAGGAGCATGTGGGAATTCGTAAAAAGAAAAGGAGTCACACGCCTAGAGGGATGGGACCTTGCTTAGCTGGGGACATCATATGAAGAGTCCTGAGGGCTTCAGAAATGATGGGGGTTGCTGACACTTTGCTGAGTGAGGGGATTGCCAGGATTAGGTAGCCAGTACTACGCCAATGCTGATCCCAACAGCACACCCTGCCCACAGCCATTCTCAACCAGTCCAGAACTTCAGCTTCGTCTCTTTATTTCCCATGCTTTTCTCAGGGCCGGTTGGCTCACATGGCTCTGAAGGGCACTTCCCAAAGAGCACACTCATGATCTCAGCCACTGAAGAACACAGCCCATCAGACTCCACAGGGCTAGCGGCCGTTGGTTCGCTCAGTCAGGTGAAGGCAGGTAGGAGCGGGGGTCTCCGGGGAAAGGAAGAGGGGGCACCTGGTTGTAGTGGGCCATGAGGAAGATGCCGGCAGTGCCACACACAAAGAGGGAGAGCATGGCCAAGAAGCAGACACGGTCCAGCACGCGGCCCACCAAGAACCACTCCTCGCTCCCCTGAGGGTGGGAGGCAGCGTGTGGGATGACCAGCAGTAACACCAAGCCTTCCCCGGGTCACGGTGCCTGCCTTGACCATCCAGCAGTCCTCTTACTCTCCATTTCTTTGGGTCCTTCTCACCTACTGCCAGGCCTGAACCTGGCCTCTGCCGCAGTCCCCTGTTTCTAGGGTCCCTGTTCCGCTTTTTGCATCCCACCGCCTTACCATAGCCCCTCCACGCCTCTTGCCCCCATCTCAAGTCCCCCCTTACACTGTCAAAGTGACTTTGCTGGTGCCGGGCGAGGGCAATGAGGTTGCAGGCGTCCACACAGGCCTGGATGGCCGGGGCGGCCTGCTTCAGGCTGCCACACAACTCTTGACTCTGCCCTGGCTCCTGGCCTTTCTCTGTTGAGAAAGGGTAAAGTTTGGGAATAGAGTGGAGAAGAAATGGTCTGAGAAGGTATTCTCTCCTGAGCGACCCTAGGGTCTCTCTCCCCAGCCTGGATACTTACCAAAACTCATCTGCTGTGCCTGACACTTTGGCCAACAGATAGCCCTCCCCGGCTGGGGTCCCTGGGGAGGAGCGACCCCAGTGTCATGCCTCCTGCCTCACCTGGCTTCTCCAGCGCCGCCCTCACCAGCCCGTTGCGCTGCCGCTGCCGGAAGAGAAGTTCACTGCGAGGCAGGCAGAGAGCAGCCTCTTCCCCACCGGGGATCGGCCATCCCGGGGAGGAGCCATTCTGTAGCCGGCACCCCGTGTCTTGTACAGCCACTGGGACCAGTGGGCGGACGTGCATCCGCAACAGCTGGGGCAAGAGCCGCAGGAACACCTGGGGAGAGGTTCTGGGGGGCTTAGCTTCGTAGCCAGCGGACCTGGACGTGCGGGCAGCCAGGCTGGGCTCCAGAGCAAAGACTGAAGGTTGGCACGGAGGGCTCAAGCTACCAGGGGCCCAGAGGCAGCGCCTTAGGGACAGTGGCTTGACACCGGCTTGGCTCTTCTGTGCCAGGCACTGAGCCTAGGTCCCCAAACTTGTGTGCACATCAGAATGACCAAGGTACTTGGTGCACAGGTCTCACCCCCCCCTCCCCGCTCTTCCAGCCCAGGCCGCCTGAGGTGGGCCTGAGAATCTGCATTCGCAGCAAGGGTCCCAGCTGACTGCTGCTGCGGGTGGACTGCAGAGCACACAGACTCTGGAGCCAGGCGGCCTGGGTAGACACGTGCCTCGCCTTCCTAGCCATGCAACCTTGGGTGAGCTAATTAACCTCTCTGTGCCTCAGTTTCATCATCTGCAAAACAGAGGTGGTACTAATAGCCACCTCATTGGAGTTTTATGGAGATCAAATGAGTTAGTATGCATAATGCACCTGCCACTAGCAAGCACTCGTTATTATTATTAATCCATCTGGGCGCATGCTTCAAGGTACACGCAGGGGAGGTTTGCTACTCAATGTGGCAGGTGAGTAGGGAAGGGGAAGGGGGTGGAGAGGAAGACAGATGTGAGTGGGCTGGACAGGAGGATGCTGGAGTGGGCAGAGAGCAGCCTTGCCTTTCGGACCCTGCGGGCCATGGAGTGTGTATGGGGGGACCGCAAAGACACGTTGAGCACGACAACGGCATTCACAACAATGAGGATGGTCACCACCAGGAGGAAGGTCAGGTACCTGCCAGAGTCAGGGAGGCGGGAGGTGGGGCCAGCCCACTGGCATTCCATCTCCAGATGCTCCCATCTTTAGCAGCTGATTCCCCCAGATCCCTTAGGGTTAGGGGTTGGCATTGAGGACAGGGTGGGGGCTGGGAGTGGCAGAAGGGTAGTGCCCCGAGTTTCAGGGAGGGAAGGTGGGAGGTGAGTGGTAGGCATGAGGGTCACCCTTACTTGCTGATCAGTGGCACTGCCTGCGAGGTCTCAGGCACCTTCTTGGCCACAAGGAAGAGGAAGACAGTCTGGGCCAGGAGCACGTTGATGGCGACGGTACACTTCTGGCCCCCCGCTGCCCATAACCAAGAGACCCTCAGGGCAGATCTCAAGTTCCCTGGCATGGGGCACCCCCCCCCCACCCCACTCCTGGTCCCCGGGACAGGTGGTCTTGTGTGTGGTGCCACTCTGTGCCCTTCTGGCTAGTCCCTGTGCTGCCGGCTGGGGCCACAGTTCCCCTCCCACGGGCTCCAGGTACCCTTGGCAGGAAGGAAGTAGATGAGAATGGCAACTGAGGAGATGAGCACGCAGGGCGCGATGATGTTGATGACGTAGAAGAGGGGCTTGCGCTGGATGAGCAGGTAGAAGACCACCTTCTGGTGGCCCGCCTCCTCAGCAGGGGCCGCCACGTCCAGCAGCATCTTGGCCGGCCGGTGCCGGATGGCCCACTCCCCGTTCTCTGCGGGCAGCAGGCCAGGGTGAGTGCTGGGAGCGCGGGCTGTGACCTGGCTGCGGGGCCCAAAGCAGTGCCACCGAGGGATAGAAGCAGCAGGGGACATTGGATATCTGATCCTCCTCCCACCAAAACCTGAGACATCGTCATGGGGAAAGCGGAACTTTGTTGGGTCTTTAAAAAATCAACTTCTTCTGGTTCCTTCTAGCTCTCATCTTGAGTTACATGGGAGGGGGATCTGGACTGAGTCTGGCCCTGCCCTGGAGGCCAGGTTCAACAGGGGTCCTGGGAGGAGGTTACCCGTGAAGGCCTCAGGGTCGATGAAAATCCACTCAATGGTCTGACCGTCTTCCTGGCTCAGCTGCAGATTGATCTCATTGGTGCTGTAGGTCTGGGACCTGGGAGATGGGGAGGGTGGGGGAAACATTTGAGGATGTGTAGATCCACCTATGAGGTCATGTAGACAGTCATCTGAGGGCTGTAGTGTCTCAAAAAGTACAGCTAGGAATTCCCGAGTTCTCCATAGAAACTTGGCCATGAGATGGGGGCCCGGAAGGGGACCTGGGCTCCCTGGAGGTCAGGGAAGTTGTCTTGAAGGACCAAGAGGCTGCAGCTCAGTGCGTGT